ATCTGACACACTCATTCTCATCACCAAGTGCATTCAGTAGTGCTCTAATCACTTCAGAAGTTGCTGCTTTGTCACTCATTCTCCCGAGAGCTAGACATGCATAAGATCTGACACGCTCAACCTCATCACCAAGTGCATTGATTAGTGCTCTAATCACTTCAGAAGTTGCTGCCTTGTCACCCATTTCCCAGACAGCTTCACATGCACAATATCTGACACGCTCAACCTCATCACCAAGTGCATTGATTAGTGCTCTAATCACTTCAGAAGTTGCTGCCTTGTCACCCATTTTCTCGAGAGCTTCACATGCATAAGATCTGACACACTCATTCTCATCACCAAGTGCATTGATTAGTGCTCTAATCACTTCAGAAGTTGCTGCTTTGTCACCCATTTTCTGGAGAGCGTCACATGCGGAAATTCTGACATCGACCTCCTCATCACCAAGTGCATTGAGTAGTGCTCTAATCACTTCAGAAGTTGCTGCTTTATCACTCATTTTCGCGAGAGCGTCACATGCAGAAATTCTGACACCGATCTCCTCATCACCAAGTGCATTGAGTAGTGCTCTAATCACTTCAGAAGTTGCTGCCTTGTCACCCATTTCCCCGAGAGCGTCACACGCACGGTGTCTAACATAGTCATTCTCATCACGAAGCGCTGTGGTCAGTGAATGAATGAGCTTAGAATGAGTTTTTGTAAGTGGTAATTTTGAAATCAAGGAACATACATTCGCTTTTACGTTTGGTTCTTTGTTTTGAAGCAGCTGGATCAGTAGGTCTATTATTGCTGGCTCATGTGCTAATGAAGTGCTCCTTTTCAATGACTCTGTCAGCTGTTTAATTGTTGCATTCGATTCGGCAAACACAGAATATTTTAACCACTTTATTATATAACTGATCAACTCGGGTCGACCACGAAGATTTGAGTTAGCACCAGTCTCCTCAACACAAACAATAACTAGTTGTATGTGTCTTAGACCAACTAGATCCAACGGCTCTCCTAGTATTGTGACCCAGAATGTTGTTATGCATGATTCAGAATTACTCTCAGTCAGAAGACCAGATACAAAAGGAAACACTAGTCCAAAACGTTGATTGTACTTGTTGCATTTGAGAAATTCGATCGCTTCTGGGCGTGGAGGATCCACGAGAGCGGCAACCAAATATCGTGCAGCGAAATATTCCTGAAAACTCAGATGAACAAAATAATGATCTTTGTCCGTTTCGATTTTAGTACCAACAGCCTGACGGTTGAATGATTTTAGAATACCTATATTGAGTAAGTGTGGGTGATCCTGTAATGAGCACTCACAATCCTTTAATGCTTTTTTCAGCAATGTTGGTCGTAGAATTATAGTGTTAGTTTTCATTCCGTTAAAAGCCATGCTTTCTAAGAATGCCAGTTCTTTGTGGCAAGTTTTATAAACATCCTCTTTAGTCATTAGAATTGTTTCAATATTTCGTTGTTTTTCCAAATATCTTCGACATAGCCATTCTGTAATCTTATCATATAGCTGTGTTATTGTGAGTTCTCTAGTTATGGACCAATCTGTGTCAGCCCAAAGACTACAAATCAGTTCGAGATTCACTGGAATATGTGCAATGCCCCAAATGTTAGTGCTCAATTTTAAGAAGTCCAATAGGTTTTTGCCTGTGGATGATCCATTGTCTGATTCATCTGTAATTTGATCGAAGAACTGCTTCACATACTCACCTATATTATCATTCGTAAAACCTGTAATTTCCATTACCACATCATATGATAATTTATTTGAGTATGGACGAGAGGTCAAGATGTGGTGTGGAGTGTTAAGTAACTGCTCGAATAAATATTGCAGATGTGCTGGTACATTTTGTACAATTTCATCATACCCATCCAAAAGCCATAGAACTTGACTTTTGTCAAACTGTTCTCTCAAATATATTTTATCTTTGTCAGAAAGAGCTGGTGGAAGCATTCCTTTTCGACGAGATCAATTCGAGAATAGCTAATGCCGGATGACAATGGAGGATAACGACTTTCAGTTAAACGCCGTAGCGGAATCAAGAAGATCAGCTTATATTGTGGCCAAATTGTGCCATTTGCCCATTGGTAAGCAACATATCGACAAAATGTTGTTTTACCGATTCCAGCCCGTCCAAGCACGAGTACCTTCTTCGTTTGATTCTTGCAAGTTTCAAAAATGTCCTTGACATCTACTAGAGCCTTCGCTCCGTGTATCTCTTCAAAGAGACCGATAATCGCATCACTTTGCTGAGCATCACAAAGCTTCTTTTCTTTTTTTTGTTGTTCTTTGATTTCCACTATAGCTAAATTAATGTAGCTTTGTTCAATTGGAAAAGATTTTGCTGGATTCATTAACCGTTCGATCCGAGAATATTGTTTATGCTGTTGCCGAATCAGTTCACACAAGTAAGTAGGTTCACAAACTGACTCATATTCTTCTAACTCTATTTCAACTAAAACGGATGGATTAGTTGTTGGATCATGGCGTTTCACATTAGTAACGTTAAATGTTGCAAATGGTGTAATTAACACTTCTTGCTCATCTGAAATACTCGACATTGATTCAATATCGAGAGCAGTGCGGGTATTTTTGATTTTGTATTGACACACTACTGATATTTGAATGTGCATTCTATCGGGTGTTTTCCGAAAACTATTTTGTTGTCCTTCTCCAACAAAGAACTCTGCAACTGTTAGGTTTTTCGATGTAGATAGAAACGTTCGAGTCATTATTTGAGTACCAGTTTGATACTTGCCAAGATCGTTTTCAGTCATTAACATTCCACGATATGTTGTTCCGATGAAATGATGATTGATAAAATCTGGATGATGTATGAGTAGAGCTACTATGTTTTTTACACAATTGATGAGCCGATAATTAGGGCTAAATGAATCTTCTGATCGAAATAATCCATCAAGTACTTTGCCAAATGTTTATTAAGAATTCTATGAAAGTGTTCTGTTGGTGATGTATAAGCTTTAATAAGATAATGAATAATATCTCGTTGGTGAAGTGCTTCTGTAAAGTCATATTCAATCTCTTTTATCTGTACAGCAGACAAGCCTTCGCTTTGTACCAGATATTCTTTAATATAATAATTGATGATTTCGACTAATAGTTCTCGTGTTGCTAAATAGTCATATCTTTTCAACGAATCCGTACCGTTTCTAAAGTGATCACGTTCTTTTACTAAGTCAGGATCTGCAATTACCCATTCAATATAATCAGCATCATCTGGATTTCCGATAAATGAATGTCTAGTATTTATTCGTCGAAAAAGATCTTTTGTCTCTTCAGTTCGAGCTTCTTCAAATGGTGTTAAACCATATTTATTTGTTATTGAACGAAATGCACCGTTTTTCAATAATAATTTTACAATCTCATTATGTCCTTTGTGCGCAGCAATATGTAAGGCAGTACTTCCACTTAGATGAAGTTTTTCATTAATTATATTATTAATATTTTCTGATTCAGTATAACGCATCACTTGCCCAATATTGTTGTTTTCGCAAGCATGATACAAATTAGCAGATGTCAATTCCTCTGAATCCACGTGAACTGGTTCAATCTCCATAGCTTCCACCGCCTAAAATACAAAGTTTGTCGTGAAAGATAAATTGATTTGTCAAAGAAAATGCCACTATCCACCGAAAGAGATGAATTTATTTTAGAAATCAACCCGACACATCTCAAAATTTTTCTCAGTGTATATCGAAGGTATGCATTTTTTGTATTTCTGGATACTTTTTGGTCAAAAAAGCGTCAGTTTTTGAGGATGGTTAGCTACTTCTTTCCGCACATTAATGGACAGTAAGAATTAACAAAGACTAAGAACTAGTAACATAAATATTTTTTTTGTCAGTTGGAAGCGTTGTAACAGCATCTTATGTGTCATCAAACAGACTTGTTAAGATGTACAAGCATGTGTGTTACACAGATTGAACATTTTACCTTTCCGCAACTAAGAAAAACTAGACGGCAATCACACTAGCGAGAGTTGCGAATGCGGTGCGAAGCAGGGTGAAGAGAATGAAGGCGTCTAGTGGCTAGTCATTGTGTTAGCTATTCGTTGAATACATATGAGAGAAACGTAACTTTCTCGTACAAGCGATAAGAAAAATGAAAGTGTTCATTAAAAAAATTTGAATGGTACGTTTTGTTCCCCTGTCTTTGCCGAGTATCCTATAAAAATTTTCCAACTGCCAGATTCATACTGGCTGAGTTAGGAGGGAGACAATTTTTAGTTTTTGCTATGGAGAATTTTTGGCAGGATTTTGCTAGAAAAAGGGTTAAAATAGATGTATTCTACATCGTTCGACAGAGAATGATTCGAGTAGTTCGGCTTGTCCACGTAACGCGACACTTCGCTGATCAAGTTTATAAAAACAAATTTTCGCTTTTGAAAATTTTGAATACATCACTAGACGTAATTCTTAATTCTAAGAACCCGTTTAAAACGCTTTTTTGATAAAAATTGGTTTTTGAGTCTCAAAACCGGTTTTTGAACATTTCAAAAATCGGATTTTCTATTTTTAGCCGAGAAAGTTTTCGAAAAATAAATTTCTAAACATATGGTTTCGTAGAAAATTTAATTCTCTACAAAATGGCGTATTTGGTTTTGAGCTTCAAAGCTTTAGAAAATTTGTACATATTTGTACATTTGCCGACTTAATTTACAGTTTTTGACTCTCCAACCTGAGGTAGCGACTTTATTCTTGCGTATATCGGCTGACTGTAGCACGAATAATTATATATATAAATATCAAAGTCTTCTGATCATATTAGGTCTCTCAAAAACGTTCGACAAAAATAGTGCGTAACACCGTTACGAAAAATGTAACGCCGTTACGCTTATGTTTTGATGTTTTTGCCTTAACTGAAGATTAAAAAAGGTCTTTTTTTTACCATCGGATAGCCCGTTTTGTGCTCTACAATTTCTGTGCTAAAAACGTTTCATAATGACCTGTACCTTTGTCGGAATTCACATTTTTGTTGATAGAACGCGAAAAAAAGGGTCTTTTTTCGTAACGACGTTACGGCCTCCAAAAACCGTTCTCAAAATTCGAGACTTCACCCAAAAAGTTTCATTTTTATACCGTAAATGAGGGTCGGCGAGCTGCATCGAATGGCGTTTAAATGAGCTTTTTAACTATTTTAGTTTCCGAGATAATTTCATTTTAGTACGTCCAAAACGTAACGCCGTTACGTTTGGACAGGCCGCAGTACAGTGGGACTGTGAGCAAATGCGTCAAGCCGAAAAACCGCAGAAAAGTTTTTTCATTCTTTAGTGTTAAAATCTAAAAAGTGCGAATTTCGTTATGCGATTCTATTTCAGAATTATCCATTATTTTAACAAAGACTATAGATTTTAGCGCTTCAAAAATTAGGTAGTCAACCTCGCCGCAGTCTGAGGAGTCGACTGGTGTACGGTATTGATGGTTTTCGTTTAATTTGACCAAAAATCTCACGAAAAAAGGTTGGTCCACATTTAGTTAAAAACAAAAGTCGGTCTACATTTTCGCCTATAATGTAAACATAGTAAGGAACAAAATGAGAATTCGATCTGAAATTACTTTTGCTAGTACAACTTGTGATGCTCTATCTAGTGTAGAAGTTTCATCCAGAACGAATGCATGCTTCATTAGTTCTGAGCAAAACAAGTTGCAAAAAGTCAGTCTACATTTAGAGCGGAAATTGACTTCTGTAAGAATAAAAGCTGTTTTTATCTCTATCAAATCATGCAAACTGGATTTTTTTTAAATAGAGTTGTAGACCGACGTCTGATCTACAATTCAGCCACTCCAAAAATTTCTTCAGTGGCGGACTTTTGGGAAAAACTGTAAGAGAAGGTCGGTCTACAAAAAACAGAAAAGATGCTTGTAAAATGATTATATCTAAAGAACAACAAAAAAAAGTAAATAAAGTTGAACGCTAATCATATGGTTAGATTCACAGTTCAATTCTCTACAGGATGCGCTGCTTTCCTTTTCTTTTTATATAATCAAAAATTCAGTTTTCAGATGAGTCATCAGAAAATTAAGTTTTTTCAACTTTCGAGTCCCATAACTTTGCGACGAAAGGACGTATCGAGTAGAAAATTTTTGTGGAAGTGGGCAAAGTACTAGGCAAAGCACAGGAAAAAATTTGCTCAAGCGAACCTCTTGTAACCTGAGTTATTATAGAAACATATCTAAACAAGTGATTGTACTAGAAAGTTACGTTTCTCTCATATAGAACATGGTCATAAAGTGAATCACACGATATGCGAACACTCTGCTTTAAAAATATCAGTATGACTCACGTCAGATTAATTATCCGTTTTTTTTTTGAAAAAACTACAAGTCTCAAACATACAAAACACCTTCTTTCGAACCTTCTAATTAATGACTGGATTAGCCACAAAGTGTCAAAAGGGGACATTTACTAATTCGGCCTCAGAGCTCGCTGCTCAAACTCGTTTCGAAAATTTTAATGTAACATCTCTTGAATTAATTGCCAAAATAAAATAAAATAAAATAAAATATAACAAGTCCCTGTTTAAAATTTTCCCGTAGCCATTCTAGTTTACGAGAAAATCGTTACAGAAAATGACAGTTTTGTTGTCTAAAAAGTAAAACACAGTTGATCACTATAATGCGGTATGCTTCGCACCGCATTAATTATGTGAAGCCATTGTTAGGAGATATTTTTTTCCCTTTCGATGTGAGTTTAGTTTCTTAGGTCTTTCTTTTCTCTCTCATCTCATATGTATACCTTTCTCGTTCTGTACATATATGATATGTAATGCGGTGCGAAGCAACACCGCATTATAGTAATAAACTGCCCAGGACAAATAATCGTATTAAGATCATACAAGATCTTACAGATTATAAGATATCGTACGATTCTTACTGTAAGATTGTTTAAAATCTGATGAATTTCTTACTGTAAGATTTTGCATGATTTTTAATCTCAGACGCTAGTGGAAATCTTACAAGATTCGTTTTGATAGCAATCTTATGGAATCTTACTATACGAATCTTACAAGACCTTATAAGATCGGGCTATAAGATTTTTCCTAGAAATTCCAAAAATTTTTAAAGAAAATCTGTCTTTGTCTACTGATCAGATAAACAGTAAATCTTGGGCTGATCTTCATATTTTCCAAGAAACAGGATCAGTGGTAGATAGGCTGTACTTTTCTTTGTAACAAGAACGCAAAAAAATTTATTTTCAGTTCTTTCCACGTGAATATTTATCAACAGATGCATATTTAGTCTATATAGTCCATACTTTGTATAAGCTATATGGCAGACATGTGTGTTCATGGTAGAAGTACATAAAAAAGTAATTAATTCACAGGGGAAGTGCACGGCAGTTCAGTGAGTAAGAGAGTAAAGAGACATAAATCCTTGCCACGTTTATTGTTGCAACGGTGAACATTTTCCTTTTAGCTGTTCTGGGTATCAAAAAGGTCTTTCTCAAAAAGTTTTAGTGTTTCTCTGATGTACCGGCTCAATTAAACATATAGACTATACAAAGATCTCAAAATAAAAATGTTATCTGATCAGTAATACTCATAGAAAAACTATAAAACATCAGTCTCTCTCACCTTTATTTTGAGATCAACTATTAGTCGCATGTAGTTGCGAACCAGTGGCGTAGTCAATGGAGGAGTCTAGGGTTCACAGATCCCTCCCTTGGAAAGTTAATTTGCACTGGAACAAATAAAAAACTTTCGATTTGGTAGAAAATGTTGGACCCCTTGTAACGGCTCAACGCCATTACATTATTCTCCATGCTTGATCTTATCGCAGTTTCTAGAAATTCTTAAAACTTCGAAGTTTCGCGGGTTTTAGTAAGAAAGATAATAGAACAAAGAAATTATTTATTATTTATTAATTTAATACAAATTGTTTCCAGGGAACAAAACGAAAAACAAGTTATAATTGAAAGTAAATTTCGATTCTTTACTTTCTTCTTGTCAATTTTCAACTTCAAATTCAGACCTCTTCTCTCCTTCTTCTTCTCGTTCTCTCTCACATTTATAGAGAGAATTTTTCTGATTAATCTTCAAATTCACACTATCTCTTCTTCTTCTCTTATATACAGAGGAGCAGGAGCTTTCCTAATATATTTTAGTACTTAATATAATTTAGTATTTGCGTTTGTAATACTTATTTTCATTTCTCCTTCTTTACATTAGCATCACGATTTCCGCCACCTCCTCTCAGAACAACAAAGAAGAACATTAGCTATATTATTGAACTTTAACATTGTACAAATAGTTTTTTGTACAAAACTTTTATCGTTCAACTAATAATAATTGTTGCTGCTGGTAGAATAGAATTGGGTGTTGTTTGTGAAGCTGTTAGTAGGGCCTAATTAGCACCACAGAGGGGGACAGTGCGAGGGTGAGTCACCATACTCAAACTTCAAGTTGAGCACTTTTGGATGTTGACTTTTTCTAGAAGAAAGTCTAAGAAGTCTAAATCGCCGTTCACCACCATAACATCTACAACATCCAAAATTTGCACCATCACCCCTCCCTCGCTAAATCTAAAAAATGATTCATTTGTTTTTTTAATATCATTACAAGTCTTTGGTACAATACCATGTCTTTAGTATGCAACAAACATATGAGAATAAGTTAAATTTTCGATCCATAATCCAATGAGTCATTTACTATTCTAACTGGATATTTTCAATGCGTTAAAAACATTTGTTTTGGAGTGATTTTGAGCTATCCAATTGTGATGGTAGATGATTCATTCAGTTGTAGATGAAAGATGTGATTTGTCTCTCTTTCTTTTTATATAGATATATATTGGGTAATGAGAGCATAATATCACATCGGAGGCGATGAATTTTTTTACATATGCAACTTTATATACCAATTTATTGTTTTACTCGATGCTGGTTTATACAGTGTGTCTACGTTTACTTTTCATTTATAGATTGAAAACTTCTTTTTCTCATACAGTTTGAATAAAACTGTCTTGAATATTATAAAAACGATTATGAAAAACGATTCTTTTTTACCAGATGGGATATGAAAACAACGTATTTTCTTATAGGACATTGATGCAAGAGTAAAAAAATCAGGTACTATGTTGCCAGTATAGTGCTTAAAAGAGGCTGGTAGAACTGGGGTTAAATACTCATTGCTGGTGCACACGACGTTCCATCGAATTGAGTATTTGTGCCAGGGTATCCATTGTGAGGATTGCCCCTCACTTTCTGGCGCATTGTTTAGCACGATTGTGCGGTTTTTCAAATTTTTATCTAGTGCGATGCGAAGAACTTCATCCAAGAAGCACAACATGCATATTTCGAGAAAAATGGATGGAATATGACTGCACAACTGTTGTGCATTATTATGAAGTATTATTTCTGGTTTCTGTTGTGCCACAACAGAAACCAGAAATAATACTTCATTCAATACCTACACGAAATAATCATTGCTTAACATTGCACAATAGATCACACGAAACAACAACACCCAGGTACAAATACAATCATTTTCCCCTTATGTTTAAAGTTTGTATGAAGTTTTAGAATGTATGAAAAATTGTAAGTTGGCGGAAAGTCAAACTTCGAGTAAGACTTTTTTCTCATTTAGTTATACACGGATGAATAGAGGGCGTCAAACTGAGTAAGAAAACGTGGTTTTCAATTTTTTAAAACATTTTTTTAATCGAAAAAAAGTTCGAAGGACCAAAACTTTTGAAAAACCCTAGTTTCAAGAGAAAAATCTTAAAATGCTTGTTATATCATTAGGATAGGCTACATAGTGGAAACAAATTTTTTATGCATATAGCTAACTTGTCGAGTTATATAATCTAGACAGATCAGAAATTAGTTTTGATAAAAAAATGTTGCCTGGAAAACCACTTTTCTAGAAAACCGGATCTCGAAGTTACTAGCAGCAAAAATGATCCTCATTTTCGAAATCAACACCAGGGCGTACATATAGTCATGTATGTTTTAAGGAAAAAATGATTGGACACTTGGAGAGAGGCCCTCGTCCGTAATTTTTGGACCTAAAAATTCTAAAAAAGATGGTCGGAAAGGATAAAAATAGTACATTATTCGATTCATGTTTCAACGCTGATTCCGAATATGATATTTTTATTGCATAAAAGATGAGCTCTGATAGAGAAACTGAGAAGTACGGGCGGAATTCCGACTTTTTTCACCCCCGATTTAAAAAAATGAGTTTTCTCAGTATCAATGTAAAATAGAAAGAAAGCGATACGTACTTTTAAAGCTCGTTTAATGACGGTTCTAATGAAGTAAAAAGGCTGGCTTCATCTCTTTATAAACATAGAAAATTACATTCTTCTTATAGTTAAAACACCGGGTTTTATTATTGCTCGAAGATGAGGCAAATCTCTGAATTGTAAGCATAGTATGTAAAAGAACATTGTAAAACTATCTTATCTAATTCTTATAAGAATATTATAACCACAGTACATATTCACCGCGATTGGGGCACGTTATATTGTCGTCAAATTTATCTTATCCGATTTCCATTATTTTCGTCGCACATAACATGGGCCAAAGGTTATAGACTCGTTTTGGTCTATTCATCATCATTGTGTGATCTGACGTAATAACTTTTCGTAAAGTCAAGTATGGTATTTTGAATTTTTTCGATAAG